GCCTCTTGGATACTCTTCGGCCCCCTTGGGGGCTTCTTGGGGCCTCTTGGAGCCTGTTGGGGGCTTCTCGGGGCCTCCCGAGAGCCTCTCGGGGTTGAAGGCTCGGATTTTCGGTTCGTGTTAATCCTCTTGGCTCCATCTTGAGGCCGTCTTGGGGCCCTCTCGGGCCGCCTTGGGCGCCTCTGGCGCCGTCTTTGGGCCCTCGTGGGCTGTCTTCGAGGCCTCCGGGGATGTCTTTGGGCGGAAATTGAAGCCTCTTGGGCAGTCGTAGAGCATCAGGAAACTGAAACGGCGAGAACTCGAAAATCCATCAAAAACCAAAGGGAAACAAATTGGTTGTGCCTCCTGGGGCTCCTTGGGAGCCATCTTGGAGGCCTCTTGGGGCGTCTTGGAGGAGGACTCTTGGACAGTCAGGGACCACTTAATTCTGGGCTGGGGTCTTTTTCATGGTCTGGAAACGCCATTTCTGGCAATCCAGGGCCGTCTTCGGGCGACTTTACAAGGCCCCCAGCGCCACGGCAGGGCCCCCGGGCCCCCCGGTGCGAGGGCCCCGTCCCTGGCCCCGCCTCATGCCCGCGGCAGGACGTCCCTGGGCCGTCTCGGCGCCCTCGTGGGGGCCTGTTGGGGCGACATTTGAGTGTCCGGGACAGTCGAGACCCTGAACAGGCAGAATTGCTGAAATCCACCAAAACCTAAAGACAATCATTGGTTTTGGCGTCCCTTTGGGCATGTTCGAACGATATGTCCGCGTTTCGGGGCCTCTTGGAAGCCTCTTGCGTCCCTTTTCGATTGTGTTGGGGCGTTCTTGGGCCGTCTGGGGGCGGCCCTGGGCTGTCTCGGCGCCCTCTTGGAAGCCTGTTTGAAAGATTTTTGGGTGTCCTGGACCGTCCTCCTCCAACGTCGGCGACACTGGCCGTAAGAATTCCTGGGAACATGATTTGTTGGGGTGTCGTTGGGCACCTCCAGAGGCTTCGGGGCCCGACGCGTTTCCGAGCGTGGCGGCAGGTAGCGCTGCTTGGGACTCTCGTTTTTTGCTCTTGCAGGGAACATGGTTTGGGGAGAGGGTGGCAACCCGAGAATCATGTTCCAGGGAAGCTTTCCGGGAACATGATTTGTTCGGCTCTCTTAAAGAAGGGGGCCTCTGGGAGCTTACCGAGGGGCCCCTGTTGGTCTTGTCGGCAAGCCTATTGGAAGCATGGTTGGGGCGGTGGGCGGACGCCCAAGGAATCATGTTCCCGGAAAGCTGTCTGGGAAATACGATTTACCGAGGTCTCTGGGGGCCCGCAGGGGGCTTCCCTGGGGGCCCCTTGGGGGCCTATTGTGCTTCCGGGGGGCCTCTTGGGAGCCTCGCGGGGCTTGTTGGGAGCCTCTTGATGGCCTTCGGGGGCGTCCTAGGAGCCTCTCAGGCCGGAGACCTTGAAATGTCGCGCTCTTCGGGCCCTCTTGGGTCGCTCTTGGGGCTCTCTTGGGGCGCTCTCGAGGCCCTCTTATCTGGGGAGCCTGGGCCGTCTCCTGGCTTTCTTGGGAGCCTCTTCGGCCGTCTTGGAGCGATCTGAAGGGCCTCTGACGCCGTCTGGGACCGTGGGGAGGCGAAGCATGCGAGAGCGTAAAAATGCTTCAAAAACCATTGGAAAATCTATTATTTTCGGCTTCTGGGGCCCTTTGGAGGGGCCTCTGGAGGCGCTCTTGGGGCGTTTTGGCGGCGTCGTCGGCCGTCCTAAGGCCATCTTCGGCGTGCCTGGGGCCTCTTGGGGCTGTCTTGGCAATCTTTAGGGCCCTCTTTGCGTGTCGTGGCGTGTTTGGCAGCGGGCCCGGGCAGTCCCGGGAGCCCTGGGACCCCCCCAATCCCCCCATAGGGGGATAGAGGGGGTACGGCACCGGCCCCGGCCCCCCCCGCCTACTCAGATATATCTATATATCCATTCAGATAAATCCGAAAGACGCTTGGTGGGTTTGCGGGGGCTCCCAGCTCCCGGAGCCCTCAGAGAACCCAGAAACGGCTCCAGAGGGCCCCCGGAAGGGCCCGAAACGGCACCGGAGCTCCCCAGAAGAGCCCCGAGATGGCCCATGGAGGCCCCGAGACGACCCAAGACGGTTTTCAGGCGGTCCAAGGTGTTCTCCAGACGGCCCAATGAGCCCTAAAGACGCCCCCGGACGGCTCCAGGCGGGTCCAAGGGGTCCCCCGAAAGGGCTCCATCAAGCAAAAATAGTCACAGTCCGCTTATTGGTCTTCGAAGCGTCCAAAACGGCCCCAGAGGCCTCCAAGATCGCCCAAGACGGCCCCCAAGAGGGCCCAAAGATGGCTCCAGACGGGCCCAGGACGGCCCAAGAGGCGCCCAAGACGACCCAAAAGGACCCCACGAGAGGCCCAAGAGGGGCTCAGGACAGCCCCGAGACGGCCTATGGAGGCCCCGAGACGACCTCAGGCGGCCAAAGCTGCTCTCCAGACGGCCCCATGAGCCCCAAAGACGCCCCCGGACGGTTCCAGGCGGGTCCAAGG